TTTGGGTGAATTTAAATGGAATTAAAATTTTTTTTATAAAAATTGTACCACGACCAATAATAAATTAATTTCTAATTTTATAAAGAAAAAAGAAAACTTAATAGACTCTAGTAATAATAATAACGATCGAATAATTTTTTTTTTTTTAAACCGGAAACACCAAACTTTTAATAATAATAATAATAATTAATGACGATTAGCAGAATTTTTTGACAAATTTCGATCTTTAATTTACTTTTTCTTTGTTGTAGTTAAAATTTTTAAGGTGAAAACACTGGGGAAAAGAGAGAGAGAGAGAGAGAGAGAGAGAGAGAAAGAAAAAGAGAAAGAGACAGAAAGAGAGAGAAAGGGAGAGAGAAGAGAGAGAGAGAGAGAGAGAGAGAGAGGAAAATTTTAAGATAAAAAGGAAAATTTTTTTTTTACGGCCACAAAGCAAAAAAAAAAAGGTTCGTTGTAATAATTATCATTATCATTTATAAATTATTAAAAGGTTAATTGATTTTAATTTAAAAAAAAAAAAAAAACGCAGGAATTTTTAATTGAAAGTTTTTATTTAAAAAAAAAAAATTAAATTAAAGACGGATTTAAATTTAAATTTTAAAACAAATTCCCCCCCCCCCCCCGAATTTAAGTAAAAGTGGGCGTGAAATATTTTTAAATTGATTTTCTTTTTTTTTTTTTTTCAAGGAAAACTTTTTTTCGATTCAAACGAATCAAAATAAAAATTAATTATTATTATTATTATTATTATTTTACCCAATAAAAATATTTAAAACTTTTAAGGCGAGTCGTGTAAAATTTATTTTATTTCCCTTAAAAAAAAAATAAATAAAATTCCAGGACTGGAATAATAATTTTCCAGACTTTTTTTTTTCCCTTTTAATTTTATTTTTTAGTTTTTTAAAACTTAAAATAAATTTAACAAAATTAGTTTTCAAAAAAAAAAAAAAAAAAAAAAAAAAAGAAAAAGAAAAGAAAAAAAGGTAAAAAGGTTAAATATTTTTCCTCATTTTCCCATTTTAAAAATAATTCGAACGGAAAATTATGTTTTATCAAAAAAAAAGAAAAACTTTCAAATTACTTTCTTTTTCCTGCGTGTGTGTGTGCATGTGCGTGTAATTTCGTAAAACTATATAAATCGAATGAAAAAAAAAAATTAAAATAATTCAAAATAATTTCCCGTCGTTTTTTCTTTTTTTTTTTTTATTTATTTTTTACATTTCCGGTTTTTTCTTTTCTTAAAAACTTTTCTTTTTTTCATCTCATTCATTCATTTTTTTTTTTTTTTTCAAAAATTCCTGGAAAAAAAATTTTCCTTTTTTTTTAGTTTAATAATATTTATTATTAACTAGTAACGACCCTGTAATTATATCAAATCTTTGTCTTTTTCCAACTTTTCTTTTTTCTAACGGAAAACAGTCAGTTGTTACGGATTTGCGAACGGAATCGGTCAGCTTCATCGCACACACACATATTATCATTATTATTATTATTATTATTTTATTTAGAATCATCACGTTCGGTTGTGTTGTAAAAATCAGTGTTGCTTTTGCTGTTGCTGCTGTTGTTGTTGTTGTTGTTATTAAAAAAATAAAAATTCATGAAAAAACGCGTTCGTTCGGTCGAAATTTTTTTTTTATTACCTACGTAAAATTTTTTTGTTATTATTCTTACGTGCACGCGCACGTGCATACACGACCGCGAGTGATTTAAATACCGAAAGTTTTAATTAATTAATTAATTTCGAATAATTTACGTGAAATATCGAGAAAAAAAAATTTATTACGGGTATTTATTTAATCATAACCCACCAAATAAAGGAAGAGAAAAGAAAATTTTTTACTTGGTTTCGAATTAGAATCGTTTCGAATTGAAAAATTCGAAATAGAAAATAGAAAATGAAATTGATTACGTTGTTTTCCGACATTTTTCTTTTTTTATTCATCCATAAATAGATTAATATTTCAACTGTTTCGTCCTTCGAATTTCTTTTTTTTTTTTTTCTAATAGTTTTAATTTCTTATTTATCAGATATTTTTTTTTATAGATAATAATAATAATAATTTCAAAAAGTTATTTCTTTTTTCCATTCGTTCCCATCGAAAAAAAAAAAAATTTAATTTTTACTATTTGTTGTTATTGTTTTTCCAGCGAGATTAATAAAAGAGTAATTAAAAAAAAAAAAATGATTTTATGTCTTTAAAATATTACCGGTAATGAATTTTTCGTCTATTTAGGAAAATTTGTCTAATAATCAGGTTTCAGGTACAAAATTTTTCTTTTTTTTTTTAATAATTTTATCTCATTAAAACACGATTTTATAAAAACGAATAAAAAGTTTTTCCATTCTAAATCATTTTCTAGAACAAAAAAAAAATGAATTTTAATAAATATAAAATATTATTATTACTATTACGTAATTTTCCTTTTAAATAAAAACATTTTTAAAATTTCCCTGTATGGGGATGGGGGGGGGGGAATTCTTACGTAAATAAAAAAAAAATTTTGTTTGTGAATTTTTACTCAAATGGATAAACCGAAAAAAAGATTTTAATTAATTAAACTAATTCAAAAAAAAAAATTTTTATAACTTTTTATTAATTAATAATTAAAAAAAAGGTTTTCTTTCTTGTGGAAAAAAATTTAATAATAATAATAATAATAATAATAATAATAATAAATACAAAAATAATTTTTTTTTTAAGACAACAAATTATAATTATTTAAATAAAAAAAATTTTTTTGCTTTCTTTCTTTCTTTTCTTATTATTATTATCTGAGTAGGTCATTCATTTACAATTTTTTTTTTTTTTAAGGGAACGTTAATAAAGAATATAAAACAATTATTATTATTATCATTATTATTAAAATATTATTATTATTAATAAAAAAGTTCGTATGTGATAAAAATTATTAATTAAAATGTTAAGGGTCGTTTTAATTTAATTTTCGGGTAATAAAAAATAAAATAAAAAATTTGAATTATGACTTGAGTTATTATTATTATTATTATTATCATTATTATTAATATGTTTTCGTGATAATAGTGATTTTTGTGATAATAATATGAAAGTGTGGTTATTAATCGAAAAGTCGTCGTAAAAATATTTAGTTTAATTAAAAACCCATAAAAATAATTAATATAACGTTTTTTTCTTTGTAAGTAAGTATTAAAAAAAAAATTGATTCGTTTATTTGATTGTCACAACAAACAACAAAAACAACAAACAGAAAACATGAAATAATAATAATAATAATATAAACAACGTGAATTTGTTTTTTTTTTCCCATCGAATTCAAATCAAATGATTGTTTATTTATTTAATCTGGAGAATAAATAAATAAATAAATTCTCCAGAGTAGTTAATTAATTTTTAAAAAAAGTCTTGTAATTATCACTCACATGTTTTTTATTATTATTATTATTATTATCATCATCCGTTTTTTTATTTTATTATTCCCGTCGTCATCATCATCGATCGATTTTTTTTAATATTGAAATAAATTTTCCTAAAAAAAATTGATTTTGATAACCGAACGAGGAAAAAAATGGTGGAAAAAGGTCGACGTAACGAAAGAGATGTAAAAAAACAAAGAAAATTTTTTTCCCCTCCCCTCCCTTCCTCCCTCCCTCGATTTTTTACAATCGCGTAAAACACGTTTTCCACCTGAGAAAACAAATCCAAAATAATTGATCACGTACAAATATGAGAAAGGGGGAGTAAGGGGGAGTAAGGGGGAGAAAGGGGGGGGGGACGTACGAACCCGAAAAAAATAATAAAATAAAATTTGTTGATATAACAACGTTGAATTTCACGAATGATAAGTTAAAATCCGATATTAAAAAGCGGATAAATTTTGGGAGGGGGGGCGGTAGAGAAAACGGGAGAGATGGGAAAAGGAGGAGAAGAGGAAGAGGGAAGGGGGGGAAATCGAGGCGCCACAACCTCCACGTGAATTTTTTCATTTAATTATATGTCGATTGTCTCTTTGGAAATTAATTTTTTAAAAAAAAAAAATTTTTCTTTTTCTTCCTCCTCCTTTTTTTCGTATACGTACGCATTTAAATCCCTTTTGTTCAGAAAAAGAAAATTATTACGTAATTAATACTAGAAAATTTATTATTATTATTATTATTATTTTGTTACGAGTAATTTTTTCTGTTTTCTCTGTTTTCTCATCTTTTATGTTACGCTTGAAATAATTCTAAACAAAAACGATGTAAATTTAATTAGTAAAAAAAAAGTCCTTAAAAAGAAAGAATTTTAATAAAAAAATTTTCGTTTCTTTCAAAAGCAGAAGACGCAAAAGAAAAAATGGAAAAGTGTATGAGTCATAAAAATTTAACGAAAAAAAAAAAAAAAACAAGAAATATTTTAAATAAATGTCTGTTTACAATAAATAAATATTTATTTATTTATTTATCAACAGGGGTGAAAACCTTTAAACTTTTGGGGGGTCATATTATATTCGATTATTGTTAGTCATTTTTCGATCAACATAATTAGGCCAAGTTTTTTTTTTTTTTTTTTTTTAATATAACAAATGTCAAGTTGAAATTTTTAAGGTTCATTTAAAATTAAATCTCTCTCTCTTTAAAAAAAAAAAATTTTAATTTATTATTATTATTATTAATAATTTAATTTAATTTTTTTCTGTTACATTTAGAATTTTGTAGAAATTTTTTTTAGTATTTTATTCGGTTTGAGAATTTTTTCCCCTCTCTCTTTTCCTCTCCATTTTTTTTTTGAATAATGAAAATTTTCGGAAAATCGGAAAAGCTAAACGGAAAATGAAAGGAATTTTCCAAATAAATAAATAAATTTTTTTAATATGTTTTGTGGTTAATAAAATTTTAAAATAAATTTTATGCAAACAAAACAACAACAAGAGAGGAAAATTTAAGACTTTTCCAAATTCCTACCCTTTTGAAAATCAATAATAATAATAATAATGAGGGTATTCGGCTTTGTAAAATACTATCAATAAATATAAATTTAAAAACAATGCCAATTAAATTGTAATTTTTTTTTTCTTTAAATTCCCACACAATAATACTGATAATAATAATTTTTTGTTATAGCAAGATAGAATTTAATTAATATCTATGAAATTTACTTAGAGAGAGAGAGAGGGGGGGAAAGGGTCGGTAGAAAGGTGAATGAACTCTAAAAAGTATTCAGTACTTGTATTATTATAAAAAATTAAATTAATAATAATAATAATAATAATAATATTTTAAAATGAAAATTGTTAAACGAAATTTAAAAAATTCTAAAATATTTTACTTCAAGGTTTGTTTTAAAATAAAAAATTATTTACTTATTTATTTATTGAAATTAGATAAATAATATTTCGAAATAGTGATGATGATGATAATAATAATAAATATCAAACAAAAACATTTAATAAAAGCGAATAAACAATAAATGAAAAATTAAATGCAAACGTTTTTTTTTTTCGAAATTCAATTTTGTCGGCATTAAAAAAGAATTAAATAATTTTTTCCTTTTATGTCAATGTGTGGTTTCGGGTTCAAAGGAGGAGGAGGGAGTGGGAGGGAAATAAAATTCAAAAAATTTCAATATCAAAAAAAAAGAAAAAAAAGGGGAGAAAAAAAATCAAATCGAAAAAAAAAATGGGGTCGGGGAAATGAATATAAATTTTTTTTTTCTTTTCTTTTTGTAACATTCGTGAATTTTTGTTTTTTTTTTTTTTTAGATGATGTCGAGGGTTTAAATAAAATTTATTTTAGAAACAAAAAGAAAAGAAAAAAAAATGGTTGATCAAACGCAAGAAATAAATAAAAAAACCGCTTGGGAATTGGCAACAAACGCCCCGGAAAATTCTTCTTCTCAAGAATTTCGGTTACCATTGGAAATGACATTTAATGAAGGACACGTTGTGTCCATTGTCACATATAGTATCCTTATGGTTATAGCAGCTGTTGGAAACATAACAGTCCTTGTTATCCTTTTAAAAAGAAGAAAAAGCATGAGATCTCGAATTAATACGATGGTCATGCATTTAGCCATAGCAGATCTCATGGTGAGGTTATTATTATTATTATTATTATTTACTCTCACGATATAATAATTTTTTTCAAATAATTATTATTATTTATAGGTGACATTTTTACTTATGCCTTTGGAAATCGGTTGGGCATCTACGGTTTCATGGAAAGGCGGTGATGCACTTTGCAGGATAATGGCTTTCTTTCGTACTTTTGGTTTATACCTTTCTAGTTTTGTTTTGATATGCATAAGCATTGATAGATATTATGCTGTTTTAAAACCTTTAAGCCTTTGTCATTTTGATAAAAGAGGAAGAATAATGTTGGCAGTTGCTTGGGTAGCTTCGACTCTTTGCAGTATGCCCCAGGTCAGCTAAGTTCAGGGTACGACCATCCCTAAAAATTTTTAAGAAAAAAAAAACCTCCACGCGACTTTTTAACCGTTTTGCGATTTATCTATTATTATCATTATTTCAATAAATTATACCTATAATTTTAGATGATGATTTTTCACGTTGCCAAACATCCCAATTACACGTCATACGAACAATGCGTCATATTTAATTCATTTCCGAATGAATTTTGGGAATTAGTTTATAAATATTTCGGTTTGATAATGATGTACCTTTTACCACTCGTCGTTATATTATTCACATATTCTTCTATATTATTAAAAATATATAAAAAATTTCGAGAATGTCAAGATGGTAAGTTTTTTACCCCCCTTCGAAACAGGTGCCTGGAAATTAAAAACGTAAACGATATAAATTCTTCCAGAAGGAACGTGTTTTCGTAGATCAAATGCTGGATTTTTCGGTAGGGCTAAAATTCGAACGTTAAAAATGACAATAACGATCGTTTTCGTATTCATTATTTGTTGGACGCCATATTACGTTATGTGTTTATGGTTAGTTTTTCAAAAAAAATTTGAAGAAAAAATCGTAAATCATTCGCTGAATGAATGAATTTATATATTTTTCTAGGTATTGGTACGATAAAGAATCAGCAAAATTAGTAGATCAAAGAATTCAAAAAGGTCTTTTCCTATTTGCGAGCACGAATTCATGCATGAATCCAATAGTTTATGGAATCTTTAATATTCGGGCAAAAGGAGGAAAGGAAAATTCAAATTCTGCTCTTGCTTGCCACAACAGCACTAAAATATCCTTATCCGTATCCCTATCATCTCATTAATTTCCTATCTATCGTACGATTTTCCTCATTTTTTCCTTAATAATCGATGTCAAATATTATTTATAATTAATTTAAGTACCTCAAACTTTACCCCAAAATCCCCCCCCTCTTCCTCCTCCCCTCCACGCTCCCTCTTAAAAAAAAAAAAAACCGAATTATTAATTTAATTTAATTTTCATCGTTCGCGTCTTTTTTTTTTTTTTTTTTTTACTCTCATATTATTATTAATTATTAATAATAACGAACGGGATTTAAATAATTAATAAATAAATAAATTTATTTATTTAATTAATTAAATAAAAAGATTTTTAAAAAAAATTTTCATAATACGTCACATAAATCATATTAATCCGACGTGTTTGTTAGTTTTAAACAAAAAATTTTCTTATTTATAAACAAACAATAAACTTTTTTGTTTTTTATTATATATTATTTATTTATAACTAAGATGATTTCGCACTATTATTATTATTATTATTATTATTAATATTTTTCTGTTTATAACGAAACGGAAAAAAACGAAATTCCAATATTCACCCTTTTGAAAAAGAAAAAAAAAGAAAAAAAATTATGATGAATTACTTTATTATAAATAAACTAAAAAAAGTTTTTAAAACTTTAGTAAGAGAGAGAGAGAGAGAGAGAGAGAGAGAGAGAGAGAGAGAGAGAGAAAGAGAAAACTTATGTAACGCACCTGAAGCAATTTTCTAATTGATTAAGTAAATGGAAATAATATTTGTCCGCCATCTTTCTTTTTCTTTTTTTTTCTCTTTTTTTTTATTCCTCACCCATTTATTTTCACGTAATAAATTTTTTTTTTTTTTTTTTAACTTAAAATAAATTTAAACGGTGAGTAGTACTTATCGTCAACGTTTTTTTTTATTTTATAACTTTTTAAAAATGTTAATGCCTTTATCACAATCATTTAACATTCGAAAATGATAATAATAATAACAATAACAATAACGAAATCGACATTTTCTTTATGTATCAAATAAATTCCCACGAGCCGAAATAGGAAAAAAAAATAATAATAACTTTTAATAAATGTCACACGGAAAACAAATAATCATTATCATCATCGACTTTATAATAATAATAATAATGAAGATGTTGGGAAAACGTGAATATTTAGAAAGTAACAATAAAAACTGTAAATATCTTCATTGGAATATCCGTCGCGAATGTGGAGGAGGAAGGAATAGTCAAAGAATGGTACAACCAAGTCCGATTAGGTCAGTGGGTTCATAGGTCAATAGGTGACAGTACTGTGCCAGCCAACAAACCGGGTATCATCCTGAGAAGCATAATGCGGCGGAAAAATGGTGAAATGGCCAAAGAAGCAGACGAAGGAACTGAAATATCAATGGATGTGGGGAGTAAACGCAAAACTATACCGGGGGAGCAGTAAAACTGGGGAGCAAGGCCACACTCAATAAAAAGGAAATATAAAGAAGATTTTAAAGAATTTAAAAGAAACCATTCAGAAAATCGCCTTATCGAGGGACGGCCCACACATTCTTCGGGAAAAAAAATTATATAAATAGCCACCAATGATGGAATTCGATGGAATCGTATAGAAATCTGGAATAAATATTTAAAACCCTTTCCCATTCAAAAGTGCAAATATTAATAATAATACTATTTCAATAAAATTCACATTGTTAAAAATTATCATTTCATTTACATCTCGTTCGCGTAACGTTAAACAGAAACGTTTACAATTATTATGATTATTATTATTATTATTTATATAAAAGAAACGTATAAATAAACGTTATTTAAAAAAAAAAAAGAAAGGAAAGGTTGAAAAATTTTAATTAAACTGAGCAATCAAACGAAAAAAAAAAAAAAAAAGGTTAAAAATTCGCTTTGTATGTTTTTAAACATTAATAATATAGAAAAATTAAATTTAAAAATTTTATGTATACATAAGCTATGACGTCATAATGCATTATTATTTTTTTTTTTTTTCCTACGAGCTGGAAAAAATAAATAAATCAGTAAAAAATCATTACTATCATTTGGGAATAAAACGCGAGAGAAAAAGATGGAAAAAAAATTTAATTTTTTTCTGTTACAACTAACGTAATTAACAACCGCCACCCCCACCGCCACCACAACCGCCGCCATCTTGTTTTTTCCTTTTTATTCCTACACATCCAAACTGTGATTTTAATTAATTACACACATAAGCATGGGGGCAAGCATGAAATATAAAATAAAAATTTATTTATTTATTTAAAAAACGAATGATATTTTAATAAATTATTATTATTATTATTATTAATTTACAGATAAAAATATGGATAATGATAAAACAATATGGAAATCGAGGGATATCCGACAGCTTTTCACGTGGACCACGTGGACGTGCGAACCCGAATCGACCGGAGGAATAAATCAAAAAATTATTTTTTGGAAAATGAATCGTCACAAAAATTCATTCGATCAAACCGTCATAGATTCCGATGACGAAATACAAATGGAAAATTTTCAAAAAAAACCTAAAAATTCAAGAGTTTTGTAAAACAATTTCCCCCCCTCCCCTCCCTGTTCGTTTCTTTCCTGTGTGTGTGTGTGTGTGTGTGCGTGTGCCTGCGTACTTTATTTATAAAATAATAATAATAATAATAATAAATATACAAACGTTGTAAAAAATGCGTTTTTTGTTTTTTTCCCCCCAATTTTCTATCCGCAAAATAATAATGATAATAATAATGATGATAAAAAAGAAAGAAAGAAAATTTTTATCTGAAATTAATAATTATTGATTAAAAAGCAGAAGATATAATAATAATAATAATAATCTAATATCCGCACAAATGTTATCAAAAAATTATTTATTTTTTTATTGCGCAATAACTTTTATTCACGTTAAATGTAATAAATAATAAAAAAAAAAAAGACAAAAAACGGGGGAAAAACGGGAAAACCTGGAAAAACAACAACAACAAAAAAAATATTTATAAATATCGAATAAATAATAATAATAATCGATATTATCGAGAAAATTCGATTCAAAATTTTTTTTTTTTAAATAAATTTTCCGCTTTTTTTTTTAAAAATTCAACAATAAAAATTAATCAAAATAAATTATAGTAATTAAAATCGTGGCAATAACGTAAATTTATTTCCCTTATGATGATGATGATAATAATAATAATAATAATTACCATGATGATGAAAATATTGGAAAAAAGAAAAGACAAAGTTTAATTTTACAAAAAAAAAAAAAGTAAAATTCGAGACACCGCCCAAGTAAAAAAAAAAAAAAATTTTCCTTATTATTATTTTTATATTTCTTTCCTCCTTTCTTTTCCTCCCTTTGTACCCGTTCTCTCCGCCCTCTTTTCCCACCCATCCCCCCACCCCCCCCAAAAAAAACATCAAAAAACCAGTAAATTTTTTTTTTTACATTTAATTTATTCCCTTCTTTTTTTTTACTAAAAAATTTTTAATTTTCTCCCTTAAAATAGAAAAACGAACCTATGAAACCTTTAACGGTTTTTTTTTTTTTCACATAAGAACTTTTGATATTAATAATAATAATAATGATGATGATGATAGTATTAATAATAACCGTGGGAACATTGAGAACCATTTCACACTCATTGAAGCGAAATTTAATTTTTGAAAAGGATTTTCAGGTTAACAAAAAAAAAAAAAAAAAAAAAAAAAAAGGAGGAAACCGTACGAGGAAAAATCATCGCTTTGAAAATGGCCTAATTCATCGAATAATTTCATTATCAACCCCCACCACCACCACCACCCCCGCCAAGTATTCGATTTCTAAATGAAATGGAAATTTCTAAAATATCTACAATCGGGAGCTTTTATTAATAATTATTATATTTCGTGGTAAAATAATATATAAGTTAATAACATTTTTAAAAGTTGTTAATTTTTTTTTGTTTTTAATAACCGATTAAATAAATTACTTAGATAAAATTGTTTGCTATTATTATTATTATTATTATTATTAATGAGTTCGTTAACCTTTTCCATTGTATTTACGTCGCAAACACAAACCGGCAGGATACAAAACAAAAAAAATTTTAAATGATGTTAGAAAATAATTTGTAGAAAAAGAACACTTACTGTTTTTGAAGGTCGTTTATACATTTTTTCATGTAAGAATCCATGTGTGAAAAATCCACCAACGTATCCCTTATCATTTGATTTAATATCGTGCTCCATCTTGAATCCAATAATTGAAGTTTTTCAATGGCTGAACAAGTGAGTTCGATAACGTGACTCAAATGATTTTTACCCTTTTGCCTCCAGAGCAAATCATCTTGAGTTCCTCTTCTCCATTGCAATGCTTCTTTGCAAACGACGCTTCTCAATGCGGGATCCGCATTCATCAACCACTGTCTGGCCGTTTGTTGTGGATTCGTTCGCGTTCCATCAATTCTCAAACGACTGAGCAAAGGTTGAAGTAAATTTTCAGGTAGCGACCATAAGACCAAATCGCTGAGACTTTGATATTCCGCCGCGACTTGTGCCAAATCCCTCTCGGTTATTTCGATTCCGTTGATTTTTTTCAATCCCCAATGAGCCAATCTGTAAATGGCGTAATTTTTCCAATTTTTTCCCGTTATCGGATTTCCCTCTTTGTCTATTTGCAAAGAGTGTAAACCCTGTACGTCGGCGAGAGCGTTCAACTGTCCTAAATACGTTATGTTCGTTTCCCGAAATACAAAATTTTCCGCATTTGGAAACCTTTGTTTTAATTTACTCAAAACGAAACAAATCCCTCCGAAACTAACGTAATTGAATTTAACCGTCGTCACGTCTCCTGCTTTTATTGGATTCCACGGTCTATCTATAAACCTTAGAGCACCTTGTCCGTAAACGTTCAAACATCTTCCGCATATTTCAATCAGGTAGTCACCGCCTTGTTCTCTCGTTTTCCCACACGATCCGGGAACCTGATATTTAGTTTTAGCTTTGGCCGTGTGACATCTATCCTTTTTAGGTTCGGATTTTCTCGTTAAATTTGCACTTTTCAATTGCCTCGTGTTGACATTATTATCCTTCCTTTCTTCTTCTTCTTCTTCGCTGTCGTCCGTCATTAAATCCCCGGTGATTTCTTCACTTTCGTCAGATACTTCATTATTTGCTTCCATTTTTCTACCCAATTGACATTTGGTAGATATATCTGAATTCGTCGAACTCAATTCTTTTAATTTATCCGGAGCCAAAGATTTAAGAATGGGTGGGAGTTTAAAATACTCTGGACAATCCGGTATTGAGTCTCCTGTATTTGACGTTTCTTCTGATAACGATCGTTTATTTCCAAAAAATTTTCTTTTTTCCTGAGGTTTCATCGAAGATGCACTACGTCTCGACGAGAGAGAAATTGATGACGTAACACTTAACACAGAATCACTTTGTACAGTTTTTTCAAAAATCAAATCGTTACTACAACAATCGACGACGACGTTTCGAAGATCTTTTAATGACGACGATATAAAACTATTTGGTAAACGTTTCGTTTTATTAATTAACGATTCCCAATTATTTTTAGCATTTGATATTACTTCGTTACGACTGTTTGCGACCGTGTCGCCGTCATTGGAATCAGTTTTCAATGATTCTTCTGCTATCGTTTTCACCAAATTTTCCCTATTCTTTCGCCAAAGCATTGCGTTCCTTCTAACTTGTTCCGTTACTTGTATGTGACTTATTATTTTTAAATTGGATAGATGTGACACGAGAAAATGTACGCAATCGTTACTCGATGAAATTGGATTTCCATCGATTGTCACTTCTTTCAACGATAACGCCTTACATACACCATTTAAATCTTCGATGCAAGAGATTTCGTTGTTGCTAACGAATAATTTTTCCAAATTTTTAGCACCGTTTAAACCGTATATTTTTTTCAAACGATTCCTTTTTAAATTTAATTCTTTCAACGATGACAAACCATCCAAATCGTTATGGTTAATCACTCTTATTTGATTACCCGCCAAATTTAATATTTTCAATTCGGACAAAGTGTTCAATGATGATATTTGATTTATTTGATTACCGTGAAGATCGAGTACTTCTAATTTCGTCAGTGATTTTAAACCGTTTATTTTTTTCAAACGATTTTTTCCAAATAAAAGAATTTTTAAATTTTCAAGGGATTCGATTCCCAAGAAATTTTCAACTTGATTATTATATAAATCTAAAAAAACGAGTTTGTTGAATCCCAAATTTGACAAACCGTCGATTCGACTTATTAAATTGTGTTGTAGTGATAACATTTTTATATTTTTTTCACTCACGAAATTTGGCAAATGTGTTAATCCTCTCCTGCTCCCCCACACACCCCCCCCAAAAAAAAAAAAACAAAATTTTATTAGTTTATTATAAATAATAAAAATAAAACAAATTTAAAAAAAAATAATAAAAACTTAACTATTTACCGGTCTAATGATATCCTATCAGGATTTTTATCCCTATCTCTTTGACTTCTTGTAGCTTGTATGAAACCTTCAGGATTTGTTTGTAGGTAAACAACATCACGAGGTCCCATATCTAAATCGCTAACGTTTGTTATGCTAACGACGCTTCCAGATCTTTCTCGAAATTTACATTCTTGTTGTTTGTTCGATTGTTTAACCAAAGGTAAAGCAGGTGCAATGGTTAGAAAATTTCTTGATAATTTTCTTTCATCTCGAATATTATTAAAACTTTGCTGTCTGTTATCAAAATGTAATTTTCTATTCTGAAAAAAATAAATTTATTAATTACAATTAATTATTAATAAATAAACAAATAAATAAACTTACTTTAAAAATCATAACCAATGATGTTGAAAATAAATTTTTATTAATATAAATTTTTTATTTACTAAATTATTGTTATGCATTTTATTAAAAATAAAAATCCGTTCGATTTTAAAACTGCCATTTGTTTAATACACGAACGTGTGACACCGTTCTAAAAAACATTTCCACGTTCGAGTTTGCGCATTAATAAAAATAAATAAATAAATAAATAAAAAACAAAATATCGAATCCGGTTCCATTTTTCCATTTTTTTTTTTTTTTTAAATTTAAAAATTTCGTGAGGAACCCATATTATTTTCTTTTTTTTTTCGTTGTGTGTGTGTGTGCGTGTGCGTGTTGTGTGCATGAATTCCTTATTCGAAAAAAAAAAAAAATTCAGGCACAACAAACGATTCGGTAATAAAATAATAATAATATTAATAATAAATACGATATAAATAAACTTACTCCCTAAGCTAAACATTAAATCTTTTTGTAATTAAACGTTTCTCTCTATTTAAATTCATCAATTAATTAACAATCATTTATTTATTAATTTTTCCGCCATTTTTTTTTAATTTTCTGCTCTTGTAACTTATTTTTTATTAACTATTAATTATAACAAAAAATAAATAAAATAAATAAATTTTTAAGGATGAACGTGAAATTTTTTTTTTTTTCGCCAGTATAATTTATTTATTTATTATTATCATTATTATTATAAATAATTTTACCTTGTACTTGTTTACGAGAATATTATTACAAATGACTACTTTTCTTTTATTTATTTATTTATATATATATAATAAAAACTTAAATTTGTACATAATTTATTAAATAATAATAATAATAATAATAATAATAATAATAATAATAATAATAATAATAATAATAATTAATAATGTAAAATGGCAGCAAAAAAAGAAATTTGTGACCATTTTTTTTTCTTTTTTTTTAAATCTAGAGATTCTTATATATATATATATATATATATATATATATATATATATATATATATATATATATATATATATATAATCAAAACAATTCATATCATTTTAAATTTTATAAAAATTAATAAAAATAATAATAATAATAATAATTTTTTTGTTTTGTTTTAAATGTGAAAATAAATTCAACATGCAAACCTTTAAAAAGATTTCATGTTTCTTTAAAAAAAAAAAAACCAAAACGATCACGCATAAATAGTAAATAAATAAATAAATAAATAAAAAACGTCAACGACAACAACAAAATAATAATAATAATAATAATAATAATAATACTTTGTAAAGAATCTCGCCTGTTTAAAAAAAAAAAAATTTTTCTTCCCTTAAAAATCAATAAAAAAATTTTTTTTTTAATAAACTTTTGAAAAAATTATGGAGTCGTAAATTTAAATAATTAATTATTTGTAATTTAATTTTAATTATATGTAAAGTTGTAAAATAAATAAATAAATAAATTATCAATAATTAATTCGCGTAAGAGACGAAAAAAAAATTGTTAATAACAAAGCCGAGACGATTTTTTTAATCTAACAATTAAATTTATTACAATTTATTATCATTATCATTATTATTATCATTATTATTTAAATAAAAATCCGTTATTTTTTTTAAATATCGATTAATTAAATCGTTGCATTAGAACTCTAATCTAAATTTACTATAATTACAATAATAATTACAATTATTATTATTATTATTATTTATTTATAAAAAAAAAAAATTTATTTATTTATTTATTTAACTGAGAATATCATAGTAATAATTTCTCATCCCGTGAGAAAAATTTATTATTATTATTATCATTATCATTTATTAACCGTATTTAAAAAGAGTAGTAAATAATAAAAGTTATTACAACAATAATACATAAAAAAATCTCTTTTTGACGGTTATTAATTAATTAATAACTTTAATAAATCCCTTTATTTAAGAAATTTTTTATTTTATTTTTTTTTCAATCATTTCTATTTGCAAAAACAAATCAAAAAAAAACAAAGCCTAATTATTATCATTATCATTATTATTATTATTATTACTTATTAAATATTTATTTATTTTTAATTTATAAACACACAATTTTTATTTATTTATTTATTTTAATTATGTAATATAATAATAATAATAATAATAATAAAATTTTAACAACCCAAATGTTTGTTATTAAAAACAAAAATTTTCCTTTTGTCTTTTTTCACTAAGAAAAAAAATTTTTGACCTTATGACCTTTTTTTTATAACAAAACAACATTTACAAAATTTTATTTCCGAACGAGGGGGAAAGCGGGGGGGGGGGGGGAATTAAAAAAAAAAAAAAAAAGAACAAAATTTATTTGTAATTTTACAATTTTTTACTTTTTCGAAATTATCATTTTTATCATTATCATCATTATTACTATTATTATTACTATTATTATTATTATTTAAATACTGTTCTTTCGTAGTTTTATAAATTATTATTATTATTTATTAAATTACAAGTTTTTTTTTTTATTTTTGTATGATTGGCGGGAATGCAGAGAGATAAAAACAAAAATTAGTAAAGACTCCATTTACAAAAAAAAAATTTAAAAATTAAAAACGGTAAAAATATTTAATTATGAATGATAATAATAATAATAATGATGATGATGATGATACTGATTTTAAACGGTTTTGATTTCGTGCGTGACGTCATACTCAAAAAAATTAATATTATTTTGAAATCCATTAAACACATACATTTTTTTTTTTTTTTGATATAATACATTTTAATAATTTAATTTAAAATGAAAATATTTATTATCATTATTATTTATAATGAAAAACAAATTTTTTTTTTTTTTAAATATTCCTGTATAAATTATAAATTAATATAAATATTTATTTATGTATATATATATAAAGTTTTATTTATTTTTAAATACTGGTTGGTTGAATTTGTAACAAGCGTTTAATTTTAATAATTACATATAAATTATTTATTTATTTATTATTTATTTATTTATTTGTTTAATAACGGCTACTACGTAATATTATTATTAAAAGGCTTAGTTTTTTTCATCTTTTTAGCTTCCTAAATAAATAAATAATAATAATAATTTTTTTTTTTTTTGTTTTAATAATAAGTACATTTCTTTCTACATATTTATTATTATTATTATTATTACAAATTTATTTTCGTTTTAAATATATATATAAATATACCGAGTCAATATTTTTATTTATTTATTTTAACTTCGTTATATGGAATGTAAAGATCTACTAGCAAGTCTTTTTTTTTTTTTTTTAAATATATATTAACAGTCGGTTAAATAATTTAAGAAAATTTATAAAAAAATTTTTTTTTTTTTTTTTTTATTAAATGATTTCTACCGTCAAAAATGTATTTTAAAAAAAACCATAATAATAATAATAATAATTTCATTTAATAAAACAATACAATATCATTTTTTTCAGATCTGAAAATTTTTTTTTTTGCTTTTGTGATGTCAGTTAAAAATACTTCCATTACTTTTATTATTATTATTATTATTATTATTTAAAATTTGAGACTAGTTAATTTTTTTTTTCAATATTAACATCCATTCTATAAATAAAAAGTGATGTATTTAAGTACTCTATATTGTTTGTTCAACATAATATAAAAATCAAAATGGAAAAAAGTTTTTTTTAATATCTAATCTAATTTAAAATACATTATTCTCTTTATAAATTTTTTTTTTTTTAATACTCCTTTGGTGCAACGCAGTGTATGACAATAATATAATTTTACAAAGCCATCTATAAAGAATTTTGAGCCTTAAACTAGACTCTACTTAACATTTAAATGCGATTAAATTTAAGTACCTGAAACTCGTTTTTTTTTTTTTTTTCCTGTTGTTGAAACTTAAATGCTATCGAAAAGTTTGCGTTTTAAACTACTACGAGTTATTATTATTATTATTATTATTATTATTGATTGTTCGATTGTTGAGTTTTTAAAAACAACCTCCTAGTCTTTTTTTAATTATTAAAATCTTACATGTTTTTGTCATAGAGTAAATAAAACCAGTTCATGTTTGCAAAGCCGTGGCTACTTCTCTGTGTATTCCGGCAAGTTCTGCTACCCTTGCTGCTAACTGAGCGTTCAAAGTATCCAAAACTCTTCTTTGAGATTCTTGAGCGGCTAAAGCTGTTTCTAATTGGGCTTGAGCCAAAGTTACCGCGGATTGAAGTTCTGAATTTTCTTGTAATAAATTCTAAAAATTAAAAAAATTACAAAAAGAGTTTGGTTTTTCATTAACAATCAAAATATTAATAGAAGTATGTGATCTGTAAATAAAGGAAAGAAAAAAAAAAACTGTTTTAAATACCTTAAATCTTTCATCATGTCCACCATCTCCTTTTCCTGACAACCTTTTGATTTCTTCGTCTTTGGCTTTTAGCTCTAATTCCAATTGTTCAACTCTCTGTCTCAGAGACGTTAATTCTTTTCTTAATTCAATGGCGGCCTCTGAATTTCCTGTAAAATTTTTAAAAATTCAAATAATTATTCGACAAATTTCTTTTCTCCTATCATATACATTAAAGAAAATGGCAGAAAAATTTGAGTTTACTCATAAATAAGTGAGAGTAATACAGTACCCTTAGCGGCTTCTAATCCTAAATAGCAAGTCTTTAAACGTAAATTTTCTTCTTTGTAAGCATGCAATTGTCTTTTCCATTCTTCTACGTTGGCAGTACTTTCTTGAAGAGCACTAGTTAGCCTAGCATTATTACTTTTTAATGTTGCTAATTCTACTTCCCACTTTTTGGCATTTGCTGAACTTTGAGCAAGTGCAAATTTTAACCGATCATTTTCATATTTTAACTGGCTTTCTCCCGCAGCTGGAGCTATATTGATTTGAGATGGTTTTTCAGTCTTAGCTTGATGTTTAGGACTCTCCCCAGGCTAAATTTATTATAAAAAAAAAAATGATTTGATACCATTATGCAATTTTATTTTAATTATGATGAAATTTTGTAAAATTTATAAATAAATACCTGCAGTCCGGAGAGGGATTGACTTCTGCCATGATTGTTTTTATCTTCATCAGAGAGACTCTGATCATTTTTGGCAGAAGCTGTAGGATTGGTTAAAGTAGTATTTGGTGGATCAATAATAGAATTATCATCAGTGACACTTGTTTCAGGGGGGACTCTGTTTCCACTTATTGCTCGACCAGTAATCGGACTGGCATTTGCACTTGTAACAGGTGTCGCAGCAAAATTAGTACCATTTGTAGTTGCTTTTATGGAAGCTTCTAATTTTGTGGCTTCTTTTACTTCTTTAAACTTCTCTATAAACTAAAAATTTACAAAATTATTAAAAATAAAAAAAAAAAAAATTTAAGATAACTGGTTTTAATGAGTAATTTTCAACCTTGTTCAATTCTGATTCAGATGAAAAACCGAGCCCATAAACTGTATTGGCTCTAACATCAGACCATTGTCCAAATTTTTGAGATGTTTTAGTGAAAGTCATATTTGGAGTAATTGTGCTATTGATAACAGCCTGAAATAAAAATTTTTTAATTAAAAAAAAATTCATAATAGATTAAGTACTTTTAAAAAATATTAGTATGATTTTGAATTAATCGTTTTTGCAAAATAATAAAATAAATTTTTACAATTAGGTAAAATAAGTTTTAATATTAAATAATAATAATAATACATCAATAAAAACTGAAATGTAAAGAATGGAATAATAAATTTTTACCTTGGCACCTTCTACACTTATTATTCTGTAAAGACTTCTAGTAGAATCATAAAAAAAAGAAACACTGACTGCTGTATTTGAAGCAGGTATCCAAGATCTTTTGGTTTTAGGATCAATGTGAAAAACATGAGCTTTGCATGAAAAAATTGGCTGCTCCCTAAAGTACAAAAAATTTAATCTTTCATTTAAAAAAATTATAAAATTCAAAAGCTAAGTTCAAAGTGTCTTTCATGAGCAAAATTAAATAATTCGTTGAGGTAAAAGAGGTAAAAATAAATGTCTAAAAATTATACGTTATATTAAAAAAGCATTTACTTAAAATTTAATATGATTACATAATAAAAAACAGTTAATAATTTTTAAAAAAATTAGTATAAACATCTGGGCCTTATTTTTCTATTTAAAATTTACATGTAAAATCTCACCAAGAATAATCACTAAAATTCTTTTAAAAAATTTTTTTTTCTAAATACATTATGAAAATAATTTTTCTGTTATTAATAATTTTTTTTATAAAACTTACCCCATTTTAAATAATATGTATCATCGATAATAAAATAATTTGATGAATTGAATTTAATCAAAGATCACAATGTCAGCCATCTTGCTATCTACAAAATATTGAGTTATGTTTTACCACCATAGAGTCATTTATCAAATTATTCTAAAACCACAAACCAATTTCAAACACCAGAAAACTTTTTGTAATTAGTAATATTTAAAAAATCTGATTTTAAATATTAAATTTAAATTTTTAAAAGAAAAATTTATATCAAAAATTATATTATAATTTCTTATATTATTAAAAGATATTTTTTTTGAGGTATAGGTATTGCTTTTTATCTTTAAATAATTCATTTATATTACAAACCTAATGAAATTAATTTGCCCCCTTCATTAATTTGAAAAATGTATTAATTATGGAAGTATAATAGAATAAAAATTAAAAATAAAAAGTAAATTTTCTCTAACATAAAATGTTTAAAAAAACAACTAAAGGAAATGTTTTTCTTAAGCATGTATATTTATAGGGGTTACATATCTGTAGAAAACCACATAATTTTTTAATAATAAACTTAAAATTACTGTATAATGATATAATTAACATCCACCCAATAAAAATTTAAAGGAAAACTAACAAATGATTTAAATAAAAATTTTTTTAACAGCAAATAAAGCATTTTATAAATGTTTTACGCAGAAACGATATAATAATAATAATAAATAAAATTTTAATGAAAAATTCAATTGTGTAATTAATTACTTTATTATATTTTCTACTAGTTTACTTATTAATCACAATTTATTTTCTATTTTTTTTTTTTTTTTTTTATTCTAATTAAAATGTTCTACCAAATCTAGGCTCCTGAATTTCAAAATCGGATTCAGGAAGTTTATCAGGTGTATTAGGGAAGTAATGAATCTTTTTCTCAGGTTTTGGTCTATCTGTATCATGAATATGAATTTCAGATGCCCAACCAAATGGAGGCCTTTGTAATCCCATTTTATTTAACATACAATCATCGAAAATTCCTTGTGTTTTTTTGCAGCTGTAAACAAAAAAAAAAAAAATATCTTTTTAAACACTTTTAATTTACAATATTTTAGATAATGAATTGGTGTTAGTTTAAAATTTAAAAAATTGAATTTTATATAATACTTTTTTGAAATACATACTATCGATAAGACATTGTAGCACTTGATTTGTATAAACAATCGGCATATTGATTAAACTCATCGAGACAATGTTTTTTTACTTCGCAAAAAAATTTCATAGCACAGTTGGTGACTTTTTTTCCTTCTTTTAAACATTTTCTAGGATCTTTTAACTCTCTTTTACACAACATAAATTCCTATAATAAATATAAATTTTTATTATTGATAAGGTAACCAATTTCTCAAATCTTCAGGTACAGTATAAAATTTTTCTTACATCATTTTCTTTTTCGCAATATTTAGCATAATGAATTGCTCCCGCTTTCAAATAAACCGAGCTAATATTAACATCATTAGCCGTTAACTCTTCATCGGAAGGAAATTCAAATTCTTTTTGAAATGGCATCACACTATATTTTTTTTTTTTCTGTTGAATAAATATTATATTTATTACTATTGTTTTAATTATCCTAAATAATTAATTTTAAACAGTAAACAAGACACAAAAAAATTTTTTTTTACTATTGTTTATTTAAAATAAAAAATTTACAAATGAAATTAGATATTGAGCTTACTCTAGTTTTAACTAAATTACAAAGCAATTGTTTTTTTTTTTTTTTTTTAATATAAAAAATTAAATATTTATAATGGATATTCTACACGATATCAATTACTTTCTGTTATCAGATTTGTTATTATACTTTCAAATTGAATGTTATAGCAAATTATTATTATTATGAAAATCCTTTTTAAAAAAAAT